TTCTAATTAATATTTATAGGATCTAAGAGATGAGAAATGACCCCAAAGAAAGCGTATTGGGTTGGCTTGGAGGGTTGCAAGCCTTTGAGAACAGTACAGAAGATAAGTTAAAAGTCAAACATGAATGAGAAGTTCAGAAAAGCTATGAGTCAGAGGCAGTGAAGTATAATGGAAAGAGCCTGGATTTCTGAAGTTGAAGAAGGTGGCCTACGTTTTGGCTCACCCACCTACCAGCTGTGTGACCTTGAGTGAGTCACTCCCTGTCTGGGAGAAAAGCTCCTACATTTATAAAAGGAGGGTAAAAATCAAATATTTGAGTTTTAGTGAAAAGGATACATTGGGTTTGCAGTCAGACTGCAGAATCCTGCCTTGGCTACTTCATAGCTGTATGACGTTAGATAAGTACCTTCCCATTCTCTGTGCCTCAGTTTCTTCCTCTATAAAGCAAGGAGTTTCAATAAGATGAACTCTGGAGTACCTTTGAGATCTGGATCTATAATCCCCTGATCCCTGCATTACTTTACCACTAGGCTTCTTGAGAGAGTCCAGGGAGATGACACTTGTAAAGCTCTTTGTAAACCGAGATAACTGAGAATAAAGTGCTAAACAAATGTTAGCTATTAATAGAATGCAAAAAGAATTCAAAGCAAGAGCTGTTGGGTGATATTTACCTTGCTTTGTGACACTAGGCCCAAAAAAGTAGTTTCCAGGTTCACTGAATTTATTTCACAAAAGAAGCTTTAATTTTGGTTATATTGGGGTAGTAAATTGAAGGAGGAAGGGAAGTAAATCAGTAAATGAACTAGGCACCAGTTTCAAAACTTTGCAGACAGACTCACAATGTTCTCCAGGAAGATGGGGGTTTTCTATAATGCATGGATGGGAACATAAAGCTCTGTGGCAATAGTGTTATGGAATATGCCAAGGGAGACATGACTTGAGTTGTCTCCATGAAGAATGAATTCTTTTTATATTAGTCTCAAAGAAATATATATAGAGAGAATAATATAGGATGTATAATAGTAATATAATACATAAATTATACACATACATATGTATTTACATATACATATGTATGCATATACATATCCATACATACACACACATACATACTTGAATACCTCTGGTGGTAGGTAACCCAGTAAATCATGGAGTCATGGTTAGACGATGAAAATAACTATAATAATAAAGGGTAACAGAGTTGTATAGAAAATGTTCTGTAAACCTTAAAGTGATCTATAAATATAATAATATTAGAATGCAAGTAAAAATAGTAATAATAGTATTTATATAACACTTTAAAGTTTGCAAAGAGCTTTCTGTAACTAATTTGATCCTCATAACAACTCTATGAAATAGGAGCTATTATCCACATTTTAGGGATGAAGAAACGGAGGCAGAGAGGATTCATTAGGGTCATACAGCAGGTAAGCATATGAGTTAGGATTCTAATGCAGGTCTTGCTGATTCTAAGTGCAACACTCTACCCACAATGTTAATTACCACCCTAATGTTATCTAGGTATTCATATTACTAGCAATACTTTGTAATACTACACTATAGTTTTCATGCATTATATCACTGTATTATATCTCATAAAAATCCTGTGAGGGAGTAGGAACTTTGTTATGATGTCAGCATTGAAAAACAAGGAAATGGGCTCATTTTGTAAAGAAGTAAGTTTTCTATTACCAGAGACGTTTAGAGAGTAGTTGGACAACTGTTATTGGATGTGTTATAGAAGGAATTTATCCTTGGGCAATGATTATATGAACTCTATTAACCCTTCCAGGGCAGCTAGATGGCACAGTGGAGAGAATGTCAGGCCTGGAGTCAGGGAGATTCATTTTCCTGAGTTCAAATCTGGCCTCAGACGCTTACTAGCGGTGTGATTCTAGGCAAGTCTCTTAACCCTGTTTGCCTCAGTTTCTTCATCTGTAAAATGAGCTGGAGAAGGAAATGGCAAACCATTCCAGTATCTTTGTCAAGAAAGCCCCAAATGGGGTCACCAAGAGTTGGAGGCAACTGAAACGACAAAGCAATTAACCTTTCCAGACATTAGACCCTGTCCCGCCTTCAAGATGTCATCCTGCAGCCCTCTTCCTTTTCACAGGCAAACTTCTACAAAAAGCAGCCTACAGTCACTGCCTCTTCTGTCTTTCCTGTTGTTCCTCCAGGCTTTGCAACCTGGCTTCTCACCTCATCACTTGCATCACTCAAGCAAAACTGCTCCTTCCAAGGTAGCCATCTCTTAGTTGCCAAAGATATTTATGGCATCTTCTCAGTCTTCATCCTTCTTGACCTGTTTGCTGCATTTGACAATATTGACTTCCTTTTCCTTGAGCATATTATCTCCTCTCTGGGTTTTCCTGACACTGCTCTGTCTGCCTGTCTGTCTCTCTTTGAATGATCATTTCTATACAGATGACTAAGAGATCTAAGTATCTAGGCCTAGTCTCTACCCTGAGCTTCAGTTCTATATCACTAACTGCCTTTTGGACAATTTGATCTGAATATCCTGAAGACGTGACAAATACACTATGTTAGAAACAGATCTTGGTCTTTCCCTCCTCCTAAGTGGCTTGTTCCCGTTGAGGCCACCATCGTTCTTTCAGTCTCTTGGAGGGTTCACAACCTTTGTGTCATCCTTGATTTTTTGCTCTTCTCCCCTAGGTTTGCCATTTCTCCCTCCACAACATCTTTCCTATCTGACCTCTTCTTTCTGCTCATATAGCCACCACTTTAACTCAGGCCCTTATCACATCTCCTTTGGACTCTTACACTGGTCTTTTAATTGATCTCCTTGCTTCAAATTTCTAATCCAACTGATTCTCCACAAAACTGCTGAAGTGATTTTTCTTAATTTTAAATTTCATCAGGTCAGTCTCCTATTCAATAAACTCTAGTGGTTTCCTATTACCACTAGAATAAAATATAAACTCTAGCGTTTGTTTTTAAAATCCTTCACACCCTGATCCCAGGCTATCTTTCCAGCTTCATTGCCAATTATTCCCCTTCTCACCTGCTCTGATCCAATCCAACTGGCTTCCTTTCTGTTTCTCAGACATGCCACTCTATCTTCCTCCTTTATGCTTTTATGGCTATTCCCCATGCCTCTCTTTTAATCTCTGCTTCAGAGAAGCCCTTGCTTTACAACGACCTCCATGTCCTTCAATATACAACTCAGACACCACCGTCTATACAAAACTTTTCTATATCTCTCAAACAGTTGGGTCATCTTCCATACCTCATATACAATCACTTTATAGTTACTCTCTATATTTTTATATAAATGTTATCTTTTCCAATCAAATATAAGCTCTTTGAGACTAGGGATTCTCTTTATTCCTTTTATTTTTTTCTTTCTTTTTTTTCTTTCTTTCTCTCTCTTTCCTTCCTCTCTCCCTCCCTCTGTCTCTCTTTCTTTCTCCTTTCCCTCTCTTCCTTCCTTCTTTACTCCTTTTCTTCCTCCCTCCCTTTCTCTCTTCCTCCCTCCTTTTTTCTTTCCTTCTTTCCTTTTTTCTTTTCTCCTTCATTCCTTTTCCTTCCTTCCTTCCTTCGTTCCTTCCTTTCCTTCCTTCCTTCCTTCCTTCCTTCCTTCCTTCTTTCCTTCCTTCCTTCCTTCCTTTTCCCCTCCCTATCTCCCTCTCTTTCTTTCTTTTCTCATCTTTCTCTCTCTTTCTTTCTTTCCCTCAGAAACTAGCACAATCCCTGATATGTAGTAGAACCTTAGTAAAATGATTATTGATTCATTGATTGATTCAATGATTCTGCATGTAAGATATGATTTCATATTTCCCAGGTTTCTATTGTCAAGATAACGAAGTGACTTCATTATATCTTTTAAACCTGCAAAAAAAAAAAAGGTCATGAATACTATTTAGAATGTTAAAAATAGGCCTATCCTCTTGTTCCCTATCAGAGTAGTGAGTTCAGTTCTGGCACCACATTCTAGGAAGGGCAACAAGTTAAACCTTTTCTAGAAAAGAATAACCAGGCTTGTAAGAGAACCGGCGATCACGTTCTAATTTAAGTGTCAAATTAACTTCTGCAAGTGGAGGAAGGGAGGCAAATGCTTCCAGCAACAATATAAGCCTGATTAAAATGTAATTAGAAGGCGTTTAACAAAATAAATAAAAATATAATACAACATAGAGAATTTTAGTTTGTGATTTTCTAAGTTAATATGTGGGGATAGATTTCTATTTGAGTTTGTGCCCCTGCAGACGAATGGAATAACTAGGGACATCTGCCATCCAAGTTATTGAGTCACATAACCTAACAGAGCAGAGGTTTAGGCTAAAGGGTAAGATACTGGGAATAAGAACTATAGAGAGGGGCAGCTAGGTGGCACAGTTGAGGCAGCTAGGTGGTACAGTGGATAGAGCACCAGCCTTGGAGTCAGAAGGACCTGAGTTCAAATCCGGTCTCAGACACTTGATACTTACTAGTTATGTGACCCTGGGCGAGTCACTTAACCCCATTGCCTAGCCAAAATAATAATAATAATAATTAACTTTTAAAAAAGAACTATAAAGAAACTGTAAGGAAGAAGGAAAGAAAAAAAAGGTAAAAAGGTCTAATGGCCTGGGCAGCAGAAAAAAGTCCTGTAGTGGAAAGAGCTTTAAACTGAGACAGGGCACCAGTTTTTCCCCTTATTAGCAGCAAGACTTTGGGGAAGTACTTTCCTTCCTTGTAACATGGAGGCAGGATGTTAGACTAGATAAGTTCTAGGCAGCTGACTCCTTTGAGTGTTATTGCACAATGCTTGCTGTGAAGCTGAATCATCTGATTTTGTGAAGGATTTGAAGGATTATCATATGGCAAATAAATGAAAACTTCTCTACTTGGCCTCAAAGAGGAACACCAAGGACACTGGGCAGAAGTTTCATAGAAATAGATTTCAGATTGATGTAAGGAAAGGCGTCGTAACAATTAAAATTGTTCCGGAGTGGAATGTGGTGACGCAGGCAGTAATAGATTCTCATGCACTGGAAGTCTTCAAGCAAAGGGTGAATGGCCCCTTTTGGGGGGTGATGTTCAGGGTTTCTTGGTCATCAGAGCTTAATTTGGATAGCTTTTGTAGTCTCTTCGATGTTTGGGATTCTTTGATTTATTCAACATACACCAGGTTGTGGATCCTGCCTCAATTTCCCCATCAGGAACACAGGTAGATCATATCATATGTCCTCTGAGGGCTCTCCCAGCTCTATATCTATGGTATGAAATTTGATGACCCTTTAAATCAGTGTTATAGTTATTTGTGTACATGCCATATTCCTCCTATCGGAGTACAAAGCACCTCAAGGGCAGAGTCTGTGTTTTGTTTTTTAATCATAGCTCCCTTAGTGTCTAGGATTGTGTTCTGAACATAGAAGGTGCTTAAGAAGTACATTGAATTGCCATTGAAATTGAATACGTAAAAGTGATTTCCTAGGAAAATTTGTCAGGGGAAAACAAAATGAAATGATACAAACTTAACAGCATTTAATACATCTTATATAAGGACAACAAACAGAATGCTTCATGTGGTTAGGGGGAAAGAAAGCAGGACAGAATTAAGATGCTTGTGATAGCACATTTTGATCTTATAAAATTCAATTTAAACTTTTGACCCTTAATGTTTCACAGCTGTTTTTGAAGTCACACACTCAGTTCACATCAGCCTTACTCTGGAATGTAGTGGAAACAGAGGGTTTGCTTGAAGGAACTGGCCATATGTGTATCAGTTGGCCAAGTACCGATCAAATCCCTTTCCAAACTTGGCAAGTTCCAGGGCATAGAGAAGGCTTTTGTTCCTGATTTTCTGCTGACAGCAGTCACCTTTTTAACTGGATGTTTTTACAGTGTGGAGATGGAGGGGGCCCTAGAGTCTATGTCTGCCTTAAAGATAACAGACCACAGGTGGTCAGAGGGAAGTGGGAAGACTTGAGGGCTCCAGTTCCAAAGAACACATGGTAATAAATGAAAAAACTGAACCGGGCAAAGGTGAAAAGATTAAAAAAAAAAACTTCTGCCTACCTGTTATTCATGCAAAATGATAATAATGGGGGAGGGGGAACTACAAAGGAATGTTTCTGAGGACCACAGAATCCTTCTAAGAGACTCATACCATCACTGAATTTTAGAAGCCTAGCACCTCAAACCTGGATGAGATTGTCAGCTGCCATCTTTATCTAAAGCCTGAGTCCCCTTTTCAGCATTGCTGACAAGCCATCCACCAGATCACATCTAATAATCTACAGTGACAGGCAACCCCCTTCTTCCCAAAGCAATTCATTCCACAGCAAGGTTGCTCTAATTGTTAAGAAACCGTTGTTTATTTTGAGAAAATAAAAGACCTCACTATAACTTAAATTTTTTAAATTTAGAAAAGGTGAATTTCCTAACAAGGAAGCAAATGGAATGAATCCACAGTTTAGCAGTACATTCCATTTTTTAAATAAGTAGAAATTTTATGGATCCATCATCTCATTTTTATCAAAGTATCAAGACTCATACTTGTGTCTTGGATACAGGCACGTGTTCCTAAACAAACACATCTAGATTTTAGATGTCCTAAAATGTGATTTGGAAGGAACTCTGCGATAAAGTTAGAATGTGTAATATTACATCAAGAAATAACCTTAAGAATGCAGCATGTTAGAATACAGTACATAGAATATTAGAACTTAGAACATGGCATTGTTAAGCTTAATACATAGATTGTTAGGACACAAGCAGAATGACCTGGTAGGAAGGATGCTTAGAGATCAACTACTCTAGCCTCCCTAATTTTATAGAAGACGAAACAGTGGCTTATGAAGAATTTAACCCGTTGGCAGAATTAATAAAAGGAAGACGGATTTCTCTGATTATTTCCTTTCACTTACATCTTCTTCATTCATCCAATCATTTTTGAAACAGGGAGGTAAATCGGTGTTTATCCATCTAAACCACAGTGAGAACTCTCCCTGAAACTCAAAATCAGCATTTCATGCCCAAGCAGTTGAAGAACCCAAAATAATAACCAGAGTCTTATTGACACCATGCTGATATCATACTGAGAGGGAAATCTCATAGTGTTTTTGCCCTAGACAAGAAGTAATACTGGACTGGGTGAGGCAGAGGAGTTAGTAATACCCAAGCCATGATGCTCTTCTTGCTTGAAAAAGGGCCACCATTATTTTACCTTGTAGCCTTGGGCAATCTATTTCACTTTTCTAGGCCTTATTTGTTCATGTGGAATCTTTTATTTTTCTTTTTTTCTTCATCCACCCCATATGTAATCAGTTGTTCAATCAGCCAATAAATGTTCATTAATTGTCTATACTTTGTTAGACATGGTTGATTCTGCCTCTAGCCAAGTGGCATATTAGATGTAATGCTGTCTCTGGAGTCAGGAAGAGCTGAATTCAAATCTAGCCTCAGACACTTACTGGATGTAAGATCCTGGGAAAGTCATATAACTACAATTTGTCTCACTTTATGCAATTGTAATATAGGGATTATCATAGCCTCTACCTCTTATTATTGTGAAGATGAAATGAGATAATGTTTGTAAGTGCTTAACATAATATCTAACACATAGTAAGTGCTTAATAAATATTGGTTTCCTTCCTCTACTACACATTAAGGACTTCTTAATGCCACTTTCCACTCCCAGTGATACTCCATTAGTTTTACTCTTATCAAACCCTTCCTGAACTATTATAATTACCTTTAGATTCACCCTCTGTCACTTAGATCTCCCAAATGCACAGATCTCACCTTGTCATTACCAAGCAACCAAAGCTTCAAGGGTCTCAATATTGCCAATTAGGAAAAAAATAAAATAACTCACAAACTTGATTTTCAGTCTTGAAGAAAATCTCAGAATGTATTTTTAAAGAGTTTTAACTGCATCAATTGTGTGTGTGTGTGTGTGTGTGTGTGTGTGTGTGTGTGCGTGTACGACTTCATCAAGAGGAATCATGCCATTTCAGTTATAAAACAATAACTCTCTGGTATGGCAGTTATTCAGACATACCTGACTTTTCATGACCCCATTTGGGGCTCTCTTAGCAAAGACACTGGAGTGGCTCACCATTTCATTCTCCAGCTCATTTTAAAGATGAGGAAACTGAGCCAAATAGGGTTAGATGACTTGCATAGTGTTAGACACTAGGAAGTGTCTAAGTTCAGATTTGAACTCAGGAAGATATACCCCTTACTTCAGGCTTGGTGCTCAATCTACTGTATCACCTAGCTGCCCTCTCTGATAGGACACAGGATGGCTATAAATACAATACTAATTTCCATCAAAGCAATTAACAGGTCCCTCATGCCGTTCCTATGGATGTCATAAAGACAGAGGGCCTAAAGGGTAGTGCATAAGGTGCATTCAGAACTGATTGAATGGCCAAGTGAATGGACAGTCATGAATGACTTTGTGTCCTCATGGAGAGAGGTTTTGTCTTTAGCAGAGTTCCTGAAGGATCTATCCTTATCCTTGATCTTTTATCATTACTCAGACAAAGGCATAGGTGGCAAGCTTAGCAATGCTAGAGATGATGCAAAGTTGCAGCAGGTAATTAGTATATGAATTCGAGTCAGAATACAAAAGATCCCAATTGTCTAGAATAATAGGATGCAAATCTAGGACAATGAAATTTGACAGGGCTAAATGTGAAGCACAGGATAAGGAATCATGGACATGCAAGAGCTCAAGCCACAAAGGTCCTGGGCTTTTAGTGGACTTGAAGCTCAATGTGAACTAAGAGCTTTGTACGTCAGTTCCTGCCTCCCACCCTCCATACAGAACTAAACTAAACAAAACCAATACTGTCTCGGGCCCATTAAAACGCTCACCAGAACATCCCTCGCTATGTTCCCCAATCTTTAAGAAGAGGTTTGATGATCGCTTGGTAAAGGTGCTCTAGATGGGGCTCCTGCTCAGGCATGGGTCAGACTCAATGGCTTTTTAGATCTCCAACTCAAAGATTCTTTGACTCAGCATTCCAGGGATCTGAAGCTCTCAAAATAACACATGTTCCTTGAAGAGCAATCCAGAAAGCCTGCCAATGTACTGTGTAGCCTCACCCCTGGATGCTTTCCTATGGGTGCTCTATCTTTCTGACAAAATAGATGTGTTGACTGCTCATTCTCAGAACAGTCCCCAGGAACCAGTCTATGGAGAGGTGACTTTGTACCTGCCTAACCCTGTAGGTGATAAACATTTTGGCTGCGAATGTGGGCTTTGCAAGCCTGGGGATAATATATTGCAGTCGGGGTAATATTTCAATCAGCTTTGGAAGTCCTCTTCGGATGAGAGAAAGAACATGGTCCATTTAAAAATTCGTGAATAGGAACATTAATTGGTATCCACTTTAAGATACAATTTGTGCATTTTCAGATCAACACATATGTGGCTTTTACTCCTCGACTCAATAAAGTTCATGGGCTCCCCATGTCCTGTAGCATGATTATCATAATCATAATAGTGCTAACTACGTGCCAGGAACTGTGCAAAGTATTTTACAAACATATAGTTTGATCCTTGCAATAACTCCAGAGGTAGGTGCTATTATCATTATCATCCCTATTTTACAGTTGAACAAACTGAGGCAGACAGAGATGAAGTGACTTATCTAAATTCACATAGTAAATGTCTGAGTTGGGATTCAAACTCAAGTATTCCTGACTCCAGGCCAAGCATGCTAACCACTGAACTATCTAGCCGCCAAATCAAACATAAAATCCTTTATTCTGAATTTAAAACTCTTCCCAACTTGTCCCCTTCCTACTTTTCCAGTCTTCTTATACTCTACTATCTCCCACACACCCTAAGATCCAGTCATATTGGACTTCTAGCTGTTCTAAAAATAAGACATTCCATCTCCCAGTCCTGGAAGGTTCTCCCTCTTCATCTCTGCTTCTTACACACCCTGACTTTATTTCAAAACTCAACTCAAATGCCATTTCCTCCAAGAAGCTCTTCCTGTTCCCTCAAACTGCTAGGAATTTATGTTTCTAGCTTCTAAGTTTCTGCTCATCCACTCTGTATGTATCTTATATACACCTCTCTATGTCTCCTAGAAGGCAGGGACTTCTTTGCCTCTCTTCGTATCCCTAGTCCCTCCCAAAGTCATGGTCCTCTTCAACAAACAATGACAAATAACAACAATCGCTAGTGCTTAGTACAGTTTGTCA